GTCCCTGGGAGACCTGCTAAGGTAAGGCTCTGCGGAACCCGAGCCCAGGGCACCCGGAGCCCCCCTCCGCGTATCCACTCCACTCATGCCCTCCGCCGTGTGTACCTGTGTATCCGGGATCCAGGGCAATGTGAATTTTCTTTTTATTTGGGAGATTGTTCACAGAAAACAGATCCTCTTCTCTCTTGTCCACCTATTAATTGTTTACAATATTTGTACATCTATGCAAAATACTTGAATGGGCCATGGTGCCTTTTTTTTTTCCTTGTTTGTATTTAATTAAAATTAATTGTTTGTCATTTGGAATGTTATCTGGCTTGGCAGCTCTTTGTGTGAACATATGTGTCTGTGTGTTGTTAAAAGATTACTTATTGGGCCTGGCGCAGCAGCCTAGCAGCTAAAGTCCTTGCCTTGCATGCGCCGGGATCCCATATGGGTGCCGGTTCGTATCCTGGAAGCCCCACTTCCCATCTAGCTCCCTGCTTGTAGCCTGGGAAAGCAGTTGAAGACAGCTCAAACCCTTGGGACCCTGTGCCTGCACGGGAGTCCCAGAAGAAGTTCCTGGCTCCTGGCTTCAGATCGGCTCAGCTCCTGCTGTCATGGTCACTTGGGGAGTGAATCAACCGACGGAAGATTTTCCTCTCTGTCTCTCTCCTCTTCTCTGTATAGCTGACTTTCCAATAATGGTAATAAAAGAAAGATTACTTACTGATTTGAGAGATACAGATGGAACTCAATTCTCATCTGCTAGCTCACTCCCAAGGTACCCGCTAGGCAGAAGCTCGGAACTCATTCCAGTTCTCTCATGTATGTGGCAGGAACTAAGGCGCTTGAGCCATCACCCTGGACTCAAAGCCAGGTACATATGGGTGTGAATGTCCCAACCAGCAGCTTCATTGCTAGGCCAAATACCTGCACTATTACTGCTTTAACATCCCATTGTTCTGCCTGGAAAGGGTCCAGAACAAGGGGACATCCCGAATACCACTCCTGTGATGTCCGTTAGTCCAGTCTGCAAGCCTGTTAGAGGAGAACGCGTCATAGCAAAGCGCTGGGTTTCCCTAGTGGCCAGTAGAGGGGGCTGTTTTTCTTTGTACCCGGATACTGGTTGATTGATGCTTTTTTGTTGGTGCTGTGATTTTGGTTTTGTGTTTATTTTATTTAAAATCCAGTGTGACTTAGAGGACACTGTCCTGCATCCACTGGTTCGTTCCCCAAATATCCACAAAAGAGTTGGAACTGGGCCAAGGAAGCCGGGAACCCAGAACACCAGCCAGGTCTCCCTGGTGTCAGCAGTAAAGGGCCCAACTGCCTGAGCCATCATCTGCTGGCTCTGAGTACACATTAGTAGGAAGATGAATGAGAAGTGGAAGTGGGATTCTAACCCAAGAACTCCGAAGGGCTGTAGATAGCTTACCCACTGTGATTACAACGTAGGTCTTAAAATAGTTAAATAGCTAAATAATCTTTGGGTTCTCTATTGTGGATTTTTATTTATTTGAAGCTAGCAGATTAAGTTCCCGCTCGCAACTGCAATGCCATCTGGGTGCTGGGTGCTGGCTCTTGTCCTGGCTCCTTTGCTTCTAATCCAGCTCTATACTCGTTCCTGGGAAGACCGTGGAGGGTAGATCAAGTGCTTAGGCCGCTGTCACTCATGCAGGAGACCTGGAGGGAACTCCTAATTATTGCCTTTGGCAAGCCTTGGCAACTGCAACTATACTTGCTCTCTGTCTCTCCTTTATCTGCCAAATAAATACATAAATCTCTTTAAGATATATTTATTTGAAAATGGAAAGTGCTAGAAGGGGAGAAGGAGAGATCTTCCATTTGCTGGTTCATTTATCCAGTGACCCCCATAAGGGTCAGGTTGAAGGCAGCAGTCAGGAGCTCTGTCCGGGTCTCCCCCTTGGGTTCTGGGGTCCAAACATGTGGGCCAACCTCTGGTGCTTTCTCAGGCACATTAGCAGGGAGCTGGATTGGAAGAGGAGCACCTGGGACTTCAGCCAGTGTTCTGATATGGGATGCCAGCCCTGCAGGTGGCAGCTTAGCTCAGGGTGTCAGCCCTTGCGATAACACTTCCCATCCTATGCTGTTGGGCCGGAGGACAGTGGGAACATTCTGTTTGCCCACCCTTTTTGGTAAGGAGAGAATTACCCAAGATCTCTTGTAATTTGCTAGGCAGGTACAGGGAGGAACTAGGTAACCACAAAAGATTCCTGCCTTCACCCTCTCATAGGATCATGAATTTTGGATTTCTCTAAGAGCAATGGAATAACAACGATGACAGGAAGTAACATTTGTTAAGCACATAACACGTCAAGCACTGCCTGCTCCTTTTTTTTAAAATGTGAGTTGGCTCATTTAATCTTCCTAAAACTGCAAAAGGGTCATTGACATCTGACTGTATTTTTCTGGCCTCTTGTGGTTATAAATTTGCATTAGGACTGCTTTGTGTTGAGAGCATGTCCCTAGGAGAGGTTATGGAAGGAAGAATGCTTAGGTCGTGTTCATTCATTCAGTAGATTTCTTGAGTGCTAACTGTATGTTGAGCACTCAGAAAAATAATAAATCAAGACCAATTCCCACGGAACTCATATACAGATGGGAAACAACAGAGACCACCAGAAAACAAATGACCAAAGCAGCTTCAGCTAATGCAATCAGGGATAAGTCTAGTGCCTTGTAGAAACACACTGTGCCTAGGGGCTAGTACTATGAGCTCAATATTGGACAGCAAATGCGAGCCTTCCTGGATGTGTGACCTTTGCTCTATTAAAAAAAAACAGCAGGTTTTACTTGGGAGGTGGGAGAGAATTAGAGTGAATCCACCGTGCCTGTGCTGGTAAGCGCTCAGGTGTTCTGAATTAGTTACTGCAACACCCTTTAGTGCAAAACTAACCTTTCCCCACTCGAGTAAGGGTGTAATTTGAAAAGACCCTCCTTCAGTATTGGTCTCCTGGCACTAGAGGAACACGTTGAATTGCTCTCTGTGCAAGGAAGGTTGGTGTTTTTGAGTAAGGTACAGCTCCTGAGGCCTGGGGTGAGGGCACCAAGCTGGTGCAGATTAGGGAGGTGGGCCTAATAGGCAGGCCCGAGGTCACGGGGCGGGGCTGCTCCAGCAAGAGATTGCACGTGGAGGGGTTGATTCTAAAAGCCTGAGTGTTAGGCCCTCTCCCTTGCTGCTCACTCGGCTTTTTGGTTTCTGGTCGTCTATACGGGCTGTGTCGCTGCCACCCACCGCTCTTAGCAGACCTCTCAAGCAACGAAACCCGCCTCATCTTGGATGTCGCACCTCCAAAACCGTGAGTCAAAGCAAACTTCCTTTCCTTGTAAGTAGCTTGTCCTAGATTCAGTGACGAAATGAAAGGTGGCTAATTGGAAGGTCAGGACACAAATAGCAAGGATTTATTCTTGACCTTGCAATTTGCACTTTTGGGGCCCTCAGTCTACTGCCGTTGCCAAGAGCCAACATGTTGCATTGATTTTAGTTACAGACAGAAATCCACATTCATTAAAAACTGGAGAGCTGAGGTTGGGAGTGGAGGAAGCCAGTTTGTTGGTGGGCTGAGCCTCTTGCAGTTCCAAGGCAGCAGAGTTGGGCCTGGCTTGACTACACTCAGCCCACGGAATGTAAGCGCAGGGTATGAGTAGGGAGTTAGCCACGGAAGGCTCTGCCCCAGCATGGAAGTGAGGCTCAAGTCTTCCCTCTTTCCCAAGTCCCCAACTTCCCTTTTGAATGGCACTAGTAGCACTCCCCCCCCCCCCCATGCCCCTGTGGTTGCACTGGAAAAGGGACGGTGTATATAAATTACACATGTCTCCAAATACTCTTGTTCTGTGGATAACTCTGGCTAAATGTGAGAGGACCAAAGGTAGAGCCTGTAGCAGGTAGCACTGGAATTGTCATGGTATGCTGCTTTCAAGTGTGGGCAGTATATTGGCGGAGCTGGGGACCCCCTGGTAATCTGGTTGGTAGCCAGAAAATACCTCGGGCCACACCTGTGCCTCCACTGATCATTAAGATTTGAAAGCTGATCGCATTGACCAAGTGTGAAGGGCTACAGCTTGGGAACCATCCCAGAATTCTCTTCACCTGGGAGCCTGCTTAGGCAGCGAGAGAGCGCAGCAGTTAGCCCCCGTTAGCCCCCGTTTCCAGAGAGCTCGAGCTTGTTTGCCAAATCCTCAGTGGGTGACTTTGTCCCACACAGTCTCCCTCTTTCATATTTTACATGACTTTGAGGAAAAGGGAAGTGCATACTGTTAATTTCTAGCTTGATAGCCAGGTGGTTCTTAAGAGCAGGGAACCTGCTGTTTCCCTTTTTCAATGTAAGGCAAAATGAAGCGCTGGGTTGGAGCTGCAGAGTGTGGCTAGGAGGCACCTCTTGTCACTGCTGTTTAGTTTTGGTTTCAAATACTGCTGCTGGCCCGATCTGGTGACTGACTCCTTAGAGATGCAAGGGCAGCACGGCAGCTCGGTAGCATGGAGGGGAGACTGAGGCACTGCTTGGAAGGCTGGAGCGTTCAGGGCATGGGCTGCTGGAACTTTCTCCCTGAGACGTTTGGTGGCTTGCACAGTGGAAAGGTCAGCTGAGGTCTTGCATCTGTCTCCGGAAAGGAAGTAGCAAAAGCAATAGGACATTTTCCATTGGCTGTAGCTCTGGGAGTTCTGGATGGGGACGCATAGCAAGTTGGTGTCGGAGACTCTGAAAGCCAGCTCTTTTTTCATTCATGGCCTAAGGGATGAGAAGTGAGACTTGGAGAACTAGTAAGAAAGATTTCCTGATGACCAGTATCTCCGGGAAGTGCTTGGACTGTGCTACATTCAACGGGTCAAATTCTGTCTTCCAGATAACACAGAGGTGGCACCAGGGGAAGGAGTGGGAAGGGAGGGCCAGAGGACCTGCTGGCACCAACGTAAACCAGGGTATTTGGTCACTGAGACTGTGTCTCCAGGAAGTTGTGCCACCACCACTTTCTGGGTAGGGAAAATATCCTGAAAACAGTGCTGAGGTAAAAACAAACATCTCAAGCAGAGTCGGTAACAGTTGAGCTGAAAATAGCCAGGTGGTTTCACAACCAGGGATCAAGTTGTACTATCTGGCTCCTTCTCTCTTCAGTATTCAAAGCTTTAAGAATGGATTATAAATACTTTGGGCTTCTCCTCTGGGGATGGAGTGCTGGAAAGTTCTATGTTGTCCACAAGGACATTCTTATCTTCCAGTCTAATGACAGTGGGCTCCGGGGCAGGAGTAGGTGGTGGTGGGTTTTTGTGCATGTGGGGCAAATTGGCCCAGCTGATGGCCAGGTCTTTGAAAGCATGAAGCATAAACACTCCCAAGATGATGGTGACAAAGCCGGCCAGGGTTCCCGTGATGTCCACGGCGGACATGCTGTTCCATTCCTTAAAGAGGATGATAGAGGAGGTGACGACCACCGTGGTGAAGAACACGTAGTAGATGGGGAACACCAGGGAGGTGTTAAAGATATCCAGCGCCCTGTTGAGGAAGTTGACCTGAGTGCTTAGGGAAAGTGCCAGGATGAGGGACAGGATGTAGGGCAGGGGGTGCCGCACCACTGGCAAGCCCTGGAAGAAGTTCCTGATGGTGATGCCAAGCCCCTTGACAGCAGCCACAGAGAAGGCCCCTATCACAGAGCAGATGATGATGTAGATAAGGATATTCTTTTGTCCATAACGTGGGGCGATGACGAAGATGAGAACGAGGCAGGACACCAGCAAGAGCACGGCAAACACGATGAAGCCTTCAGGAGAAGAAGGAACACAGATCTGAGCTGGGGAGGGAAATAGCACCTAGAGCCCTGAACCAGGGTGAGAGGTGCTGCTCTGTGGTCAAATGTGGGTTCCAGCCCTAGCATGTAGCCTGCTAATTTGGGGAAACTATTAATCCCCAAGACCACAGTTCCCGCTTTTGTAAAAGATGACCAACCACAGGGCTGTCTTCACAGGGATGTGTTAGGAGGTTCAAGGATATCATACATACAGCGCTGAGAACAGAGCCTAGCATGTCATAAACATTTGTGAAATGGTCTCCATATGTACCGAGCCAGGAAGGCCTTAAGCCTCACTTGCTAACAAGCCCTATCCCACCACTTTCTTCAGCTTGCCTTCTCCAGGAGCAGCACCCAAAGTGGTCAGAACCTGTGGCTTTGCCCCAGTGGCCACCCCTCAGTGACTTCCTGCCCCTGCTAGGAGTGAGGCACGTACCTGTGTCTTTCATTTTGGAAGCCATCTCCATGATGGTGGTGACCTTCTCCTCCTCGGGGGCGTGGATCACCATCACGGTGCTGCCTGCCACGCAGATCACACAGCCCAGCTTCCCCAGCAGGTTCAGACGCTCCCCCAGGAAGTAGGAGGAGAGGATGGCACTGCACATGATCATGGGAGAAAGGCATGAGGGCAGGCCTGTCCCGGAGGTCCAAGGGAAAAGGGGCCCCTGAGCAAGCACTCAGAGAATGAACAGGAACTCTGGGCTCTTGCGTGAAAGCTTTTCTAGGCTCTCTGAAAACAAGTGAAATGGAAGCTGATTTGGGGGAGAGTTGAGTGTGTGCTGGGACAATGGAAGTGCAAGTGAAATTTTTTGTTGTTGTGAAAACTGAACATTCTCTAACGGAGTTAACTGGATGAACCCTTCAAAGGCTCCTGATGGTCTTCCTACCCAACGAATACATCCTCTGAGCTGACACATACTGTCTGGCCTTTGCTTGTATGCCTCTTGTGTGGGGGGAGCTCAATCCTTCACAAACCAATGAGTCTGATGTGGGTTTACTGATTATTCACTGAAAATATACCTCCTGGAACTTTGTACCCCTTATTCTGTTTCTATGGCTTGGATCATAAACAGTAAAACTATCCCTTTTTCCTTTGATACATGTTGATAGAAAAACATCACAGTGATGATACAGCTACCGTGTTCTGGGCATAGGTTCGTGTTTTGGGATAAGAACTTTACAATTATTCTTAGTAGAGTAAAATGTGCTATTTCTATTTTATATATGACAAAACTGGGTCTCATAGAAGTTAAAGTGACTTAGCGAAGTGATGAAGGCATGCCTGAACTCAAGTTCTATCTGATTATTAAGCTTAGGAATTTTCCTAGACACTGAACAGAATTCTCGTCACTTTCCTGAGACTTCATTTTGCTGGGGAAAATATCTCCAGAATTTTCTTGCTGTTTGTTGGCAACATGGTTTCCCCAGTCCTCACACTTGCCAATGGAGGTGAAGGAAGAAGGGAGGGAAAACGGGCATGTTGGATATACTTGTGGCCCTGGCGTCTGTAACAGTGGTAGTGGCTTAGGGTGAACAGCTATTGGTGTGCTGAAACCCAGAACTCCTCAGTGGTCCTGGCTCAAGCTGTCAGGAGTGAAGATGGATGTTAAGCTTCCTTCCTATTTCCTATCTCTCCTCTAAATCTTCCAAAAAGGTTTCTCATTCATGAGAATCTGGGGGCATTCTCACAGGCAGGCCCACACACGGAGGAGTTCCATGCTGCTCCCAACATCCTAGGCGTGGAGAATCTAGAATCAGATAAGTCATGGTAGAGTCACAGCTACACCAGGTGTGAAGTCAGCAAAGCTTATTATGCAGTGTGTATCATGACTTGATTTTTTTTTTTTGGACTATAGAAATATTGCAAAAGTGTCATTGAGAGAGTAAGACGCAACAGAGGGAATCATGGTACTAGATATGTAGTTAGCTGAGAATTTACTAGGGTTCAAAGGTTAGGCAACTTCCTTCTTCAAAAGGCATTTCAGGGGGCTGGTGCAGTGGCATATCAAGATAATCTTCCACCTGCACTGCCAGCATCCCATATGAATGCCAGTTCAAGTCCTGGCTGCTTCACTTCCCATCCAGCTCCCTGCTTATTGCCTGGGAAATCAGCGGAGGATGGCCTAGGGTCTTAGTTCCCTGCACCCATCTGAGAGACCTGAAAGAGGCTCTTGGCTTCCAGCTTTGGACCAGCCCACCTCTGGCTATGGTGGCTATTCCAGAAGGATAATCTCTGTCTCTTCCCCCTTCTCTCTCTGTAATTCTGACTTTGAGGTAAAGTATGCTTAAAATTTTTTTTGGACCACCACAGAGGAAGTGGTCTTATGTTTGTATCTCAGAAGGGCTGGGGGCCAGAGGAAGGATACTATTATTCTTATTTTTAAAAACCATTATTCATGGGTTGAGTGCTTACGTGAGAGGCAACATAGCCCAAGGGTTAAGCACTCAGACTGGAATTGGACTGCCTGGGTTGGAATCCTGGCCTGGATAGTTGAAACCTGGGCATGGTGGCTAACTTGCTTGATGTCTGGCCTCAGGTAGAGACGGCTGTGAGGATTAAGTGCCTTAGTACCTGAGATACATTGAGAACATTTAGTAGACAATAAGCCCTCAATATGAGAGCTGTGTCTGTTTTTGTTGTCAGTTTATTCTTTCTGTGCATTACTCACTTAGTCTCCAAAACAATGTTAAATGCTAAATGACACAGCATAGAAGCCAGGTAGTGTTCATCTAAAGCACATGCTTCTACTCAGGTGCTTCTGCCGTGGAAGCACCAAAATATTGATGCAAGCCATTCAGCCTGGAGACAGTGGGAGCCCGTTTCCTCTGGTTCAGGCTTTGCCAGCAGTGAGGAAAAGCAGGCCTAAGTGACAGCAAACCATGCCAGATCCAGAGCACTGCAGAATACCCTGCCTCCTTCAGGGGCCTGCCAGTGACCATGTTGGCCCACTTGCAACTACAGACTTCAACACACTGGGAATAGAAAGGAGTCTGAGGTGGCTCGAGAGCTGACAATAACCTTATGAGGACGCTCAGCGCTCCCAGAGGTGTGACGACGGTCGCAGGTGCAAACGCATAGGCTCCGAAGTTGGCAACTTCCCCAGCAGCCACTAGGAATTGAAAGAAGAAAAGACACTTAGTGCCATCCTAATGAACCATCTCCAATTCAGACAATTCTGGATCGAGGTGATTTCAAGCCATGTTTAACCACAGTCCTGCTCCTCGTGCCCTTCCCCCAGAGGCTCCAAGCAGGTCAGTCCCAGCCTATCCAGTGCAAATCGTTTCATTTGAAAGATTAGAAAGCTGAGGCCCAGAGCCCAAGGTCATATGCACTGCATGTGGGTGAAAGCCTGCTTAAATCTTCACATCTTTAGATTTCTAGTCTGTGCATGGTTAAGTACAATGACTGCCAATATTTTGGGGTTTTATTTTTTTGAAAAGTTCAAGAAAATGGGGCCTGGCACAGTGGCACAGTGATTAAGGTCCTCGCCTTGCACGCCTGGGATCCCATATGGGCACTGGTTCTTTTTTTTTTTTTATTGGAAAGGTGGATATACAGAGAGGAAGATCTTACGTCCGATGATTCACTCCCCAAGTGAGCGCAACGGCCGATGCTATGCCAGTCCGAAGCCAGGAGCCTCTTCCGGGTCTCCTACGCGGGTGCAGGGTCCCAAAGCTTTGGACCATCCTCGACTGCTTTCCCGAGCCACAGGCAGGGAGCTGGAAGGGAAGCGGAGCCGCTGGGATAGAACCGGCGCCCATATGGGATCCCAGGCGTGCAAGGCGAGGACTCTAACCACTGTGCCACTGCGCCAGGCCCCCATATGGGCACCGGTTCTATCCCGGCAGCCCTGCTTCCCTTCCAGCTCCCTGCCTGTGGCCCGGGAAAGCAGTCGAGGACGGTCCAAAGCTTTGGGACCCTGCACCCGCGTAGGAGACCCGGAAGAGGCTCCTGTGGCATAGCATCGGCCGTTGCGCTCACTTGGGGAGTGAATCATCGGATGGAAGATCTTCCTCTCTGTCTCTCCTCTCTGTATATCTGCCTTTCCAATAAAAATTAACATTTTCTATAACTTTTTAAAAATTTTATTATTAAATCAAGAAATGGGTACCAAATGGGGAAATTCTGGATAGTCCGGAAAGCTAGCCATTCTTTAGGGTCCTATGTTCCTCATCTGTGTGTCTAGGTTGCATACTTCTGCAAGCATTTTCTTTCCCCGTTTCTCCCTTTTTCCCCTGACCCCCTCTTTCTCCCTGTGTCCCTATCTCTCCCCTCCCTCTGCTGCTAAAGAACAACCTGGGTCACCTGGGGAAGCAGGTGTTGTCTGCTACAGCTATGGTTGGCTAAGGCAGGAATCAGCACCTGGCTTAGGGGACTGTCATCGGAGAGTCCAGTTCCACCTAAAAGAATTAGTCTGATAACCAGAGATGGGCAGGGGGGAAAATGTGTGAGTGGGCAGATTTGAGCAAATCTCAGTGATGTATCAGCTGTGTTCTATGTGGACAAACTGCCTGTGGAAGGGAGGAGTTAATTTCAGAGTCTTAGCTTCTACCATGGACGTCCACAGCCAGTAGGCAGTGATAAATATCAGTGTATTTCAAGGCAAGCAGAGAAAGCTTGACTGAAAGCTGTGCTGAACAAACTTCTTTGGATTCAGATGTTTTGTGACTGAGAGAAAGGGTAAGAGGTTCTACCTGCAAGAATTGTCAAGGTTTTTCCCTGGGGATCGGTTTCAGCCCCATTCTTTGCACAATAGAGGCAGATATGCTTCCTCCTCCTCCACCCACAGGCTACTGTTCATAGGGTGAAGAATTCACTTACTGGTGAGAAATCCAGCCCACCACATCGTATCCTTCAGGTAGCCAAAGCCTCCGTCCACTGCAGAAGGGAATGCACACACAGTTAGCACCTGGCTGCACCTTCTCAAGTGCCTTTGCTGAGTTGGCCTTGACTCCAGATCCATCAGTGGCTTTTGGTTCTGCGCCATGTTCTGTGTGAGTTCACCCATTCCTGAAGTTTTAAATAGCACCTTACCATGGAGGGTTCCCTCAGCCTGGGCCACATGGGAGACTTGGAAAAAGCTTCCGATTCCTGGCTTCAGGTTGGCTCGGCTCAGCTCAGCCATTGTGGCCACCTGGGGAGTGAACCAGTGGATGGAAGATCTTTCTGTCTGTATCTCCTTCTCTCTGTATATCTGCCTTTCCAATAAGAGTGCGAACTGAATTATGCCCCTGCTCAGCTTACATCTGGACCACAGCTTCCAATAGGTTTTAGGACAAAGAATCCTTAACAACGCCACCTACAATCTTGGGCTGTTCCTGCCTCTCCCTTTCTTAGTTCCACAGAAGTGGTGGGCTCCTTTCAGCTCAAGGTCTGCCGGTGCCTTTGCTTTTTCTGGAATACTTGAGCCAATGACTGCCTACCTCCATGCTCACTCTGTGGTCTCAGCCTGCGTTTCTCCCCCTCAGATGCTTGTTTCCCCCATGGAGTTCTTTTTAATAGCTTCCAGTTCCCCTTCTTCCTGGGACTTACTGACAATTTAAGTTGATCTGCCTAGTACCTTGTATTTTTTCCACTAAAGTGGAAGCTCATAAAGCCAGAAGTCATGCCTGATTTGTTCAGCACACAGCCAACAGTCAGCCATATTGGCTACGAGGATGGTGGTGGTGGTAAGGGATGGGTTTGAAACAGTGCTGTGAAAATTCAAAAACTGTATGTGGCTTTTGTGGGTGCCCACTTTTCTAAGGAGAGGGACTTTTGCTTTCCTCATTTTTCCCAACAGGTCAGAGTCTCCATGAATGCTAAGCTCTCTGAGAGCATTGTACTCGAAGGATTAAAATCTTGGAAGATACTAAAATAATATATTAGAGGAAAAAAATTATTCTAGGGAAATTTTCTGATTGGCTATCACTACTTCCCTGCTCCCCTTATTTCTTCCCCACTCCCCTAGACCCCAAGCCCATGCAAATGTGTTCCTGGCCATTTGAGAGCTCCATGAACTTCTGAACACTTGTCCAGAAGGAAAGCACACAGCACATTGTCCGTCGCTCCTAGCATCCTCCCTGTACCTCCCAGGTCTCTGTTTTGAGCACCTGGGCTCCAGACGTGTATATCGGAGTACCTGCTGGCTGGACCGTCTCACCCTAATGGCTTCTCCTCTGTTAAACATTTCCTGAATGTGTTATGTGTCTTGTCCACAGTCCTTGAATCTGGCTCTATTCTCATCTCTATGTTAAGAGGAAATCAAGGAACCTTTCTTACCCAGACATTTCATCACCAGGAATTGAAGATCTAGATTTGGGATCTAGAGCTTGCTTCCAAAGCAGTGTTCCATAGAGCATTTGAATACACAAATTTGAATACACATCACCATCCCATAACCCTGCCCCCTCCTTCTGCGTTCTTTATCTCAGAAAACAGCACCATCACGTCCTTGATTGCTCAAGTCCAAAACCTGACTCATCCTTGACTCCTTCCATATTCCTCCCCAGAGCCAGCATAGAACAGGTGAAGCCCTCATTCAAAAACCATCCTGGGATCCATGGCTTGTATCCAGGCCAGAGTTCTAGGCTCTTACTCACCTAATTGGTTTCCCCACCTTGAGTCCATTCTTCACCTAACAAGAGTTTCTTCACATCTTCAATTGGAGCATCCTCCCCTCCCACAGCCCACCTCTCAGTCACCTATGAGCTGCACTCAAATCCTGTAGCTCACTTCATAAGACCCTCCATGCACTGGCCCTTAACTCATCTTTTACCCCTCTGTGGGAAAAAACCTCCCTTAACCTCTAAGCCTTTATGTGTGCTTGCAAAATCTACCTATAGCACTCTGTATTTTCCCTGAGTTCTGTTCCTTTCCCCCGGCCTTCTGTCTCTCTCACTGGACTCTTCCATGTCTAACCTCACACCTGGAAAACCCCAGTGAGCAAAAATGATGGATGGATTCTTTTTCATTCAGCTCCTGTTCCCAACAACTGCTTCATAGATACACATCTTGTTTTCCAGTGAATTCCATGACAGCATACAAGGGAGTTCAACTGGATGGTTAGGAGGGTTTGTGTGTGTGATCTGCCTAGGTTGTCATGACTGGGAAGAAGTCAAACCAGGACTGGACCTAGAGGGCTAGAGTCTTGGTCCTGAAATGCTACACTGTCATTGCCCCAGTGGCCTCAGGAGATACAGGTCTGTAAAAGAAGAGGTCGTATCAACAGTGGGATACCCAGAAGGGTGACAATTTTTGTATTTACCAATGGCCATGCTACAGCCATGGCCCCCATGGGGACAGGCTGGGTCAGGGCTCTGCTGCCCTGGGCCCAATCCCACCTCCCTTCTTCCACCCCGTCTCCCCTGGAGCGTACCAGCCCGAGTGGCCCCGGTGGCCACGAGTCGCTGGAGGCCTTTCTTCTTGAGGATGACACTGCTGCCAATGAGGAAGCTGGACAGGAAGGCAAGGCCCAGGCCAATGTAAAAGCCATAGGTCTGCCGGAACCTCTCCCTCCAGCTGCTGCTGGTGGCATTGCTGGGCACCTCGGGGCTGAGGCCGCTGACGATCTGGCACAGGACTTCATGGGAAGAGCAGTAGAGGTTGATGAAGGAGCCTGGGTGGAAGAATACAGGAACTTAGACACAGGGCTTTCGCCTGCTTCCCAAATACTGCAGTTAGCCCCTCTGGCAGACCCCATGCTTCTGCTGTCACCAGGCTGTCCCTGGGCCCCTTCTTGAAACAACAGTTTACATGCCCTGGGTGGAGGCAGGAGATTTTATTGGCAAGCATTCATAATGTTCTTGTGAGTGTTAACAGTTATTTTAAACTTTTTAATTTATTGGAAAGGCCAGCATAGAAACAGAGATGTTCCATCTGCTGTCCCTCTTTAAACACATAGTACCTAAGCTTGGGTCAGATCAGAGTCAGGAGCCAGGAACCAGGAACTTGATCCAGGACTCCTGCCTGGGTGGCAGGAACTCGAGTACTGAAGCCATCATCCACTGCCTCCCAGAGAAGCATTAGTGGGGAATCTGGTCTAAAAGTGTAGAGAGTAGCTAGGATTTGAACCAGGTGCTTGCATATGGGACACAGGTATCCTCAGTGGCTACCCACCAGCTGCACCAAACCTCCTCAAAAACATTGTCTTTAGTACTCAGTTTATGGGAAGAAAAATAGAGGCAATACAAGACTAGGTACTTTGCCTATAGACACAAGAATATCAGACTCCAGTTGAGGACTAAGAAGCCAGATAGACACCCCACACTCCAGGGAATGTCCCCCAAGTTCTTGGGCCTCCCCGAGGCCAACCTCCTGCTCTTCCCAGGATCTCTTCTCAGCCTCTGGGCCCTTGGGCCTCCGGGAGCTCAAAGTCTTTCCAGTAAGAGGGTGTGGTGGGTTTCATTTGGCTTCTCAAGAATTCTCTTAAAATATGAACCCATTAACAGCATTTTAAAATAGAGTTCCCAGGAAAGGATTCTGATTTGGAGCTACACTTGAAAATCAGAAGATCTACTTAGTTCACCCACAGGACGTCCCTTAGAGCAGCAATTGGCTGAAGCTCTGTGGCAGCTACCCCTTTTGTAAAACGTGTCACCTCCAATTTCCCAGCCTCTTTATCCAGTTCCCTTCAGCCATGTTTGTGGGTTTGGAGTGTGTAGGTATTTGAGTTGGTGACCTCTGGAGGGAGAGGCCTTTTCCAAGCAGCCATGTGTGATCAAGAACCAAGGATATAAGCCCAGGCCACACATAGACACACACACCACCACCACCACCACCACCACCACCACCACCCAGGTAGTGCCTGGAGGGACCCCAAGTCCATGGCCAGGTAGTTCGGGATTTGGCACATCCACCATGTAGAGGGGACCTGAAGGAGTAGATAATAGGGCAGTGCCAATCTCTTCCATGGAACAATACCATGGGGCATGGAGCTGGAGGGAGTCCTAGGTAAAATGTTAGTCTAACCCTTTGTTGGAAGCCGGGGAAACCAAGTCCCTGAGGAGGAAAGGACTAGCTGAGTTACACAAACACCTGGGGGCTGTGCTGGCTCAGCAAGCTACCAGAGGTGCACAGGTATCTTCTGCTATGGGAGATCTCTTTCTAACACGTATGTCACAACTGCAGGAAGATGAAGCAAGCAGCCCTCTCAGTCCCCAGTCCGACTTGTTCTATGTTGCTCATTCTTGTTCTCCAGCTCGGGCCTCCTTGCCCAAGAGCGGAGAGTCCAGGAAGTGAGGCAGATCCTACCAGGAAATGGGACAAAGCAAGCTCAACCCACTTCCACGACTCTCCCCTGCCCTCTGAAGGGGAACTCTGGCAGGTGGAGCCAAAGAACCCATTGTGGGCTTGCTGTTTGTTAAAGCCCTGCAGCACCCACCGGCTTGGCACCTGCCATTGAGTCACATTCCTCTGCATGGTGAAGACACAAGGCTAATGGCCAAAGGAAATCCAGTCCTGAGGGGGAGGATGCTCATGTGAAAAAGCTGAGTGCTGAACCAGGGGGTTCCTGTCTCTCTGCCCAAGGATGCTGGGAGGAGAGAGAGCACTCCTTGTGGAACAAGGTGAGGCTGCCAGCAGCCTGCCTTGTTGGGCGAGCTCCTAGAGGCAGCAACATCCAACTGCCCAGGTTCAGGAGCTCCCCTGGAGAAGGGGAGAACTCAGGGGAACAGGCCTGTTCCGCAGGCTGCAGCAGCAAGGAGGGGTGGGGAAGTGGAGCCGGGTGAGGTGTTACAGCACAGGGCCACACCTTGGGATCCGGGAGCTCTGGTTCCCTGCCCACTTTCCCACTGTTCCACTGGTAGCATGAGAGTAGTCTTTTCAGAACCTCAGTTTCCACATCTCCCAAGTGGGGACAGTAAAGCCACAATGCCCACCTTTCCTCCAGAATTGTTGTAAGGCTGAAGGAAGTAACACCAGGAAGGGACCTGGTCCCCTGTGTGCCTCATGGTAAAACTCAGCCTAAAGCCAGGAAGGAGTCTTTGCTCCTTTCTTGAGTTTCTATGCCTCCCTTTTCTAAGGCGTGTGTATGGAGGTGGGAGAGGCGGGTTGGGGCCATAGCCAGACCTGGACAGATTTTAAAAGCATCTTACGTCATTGTACCTCTTTAGGCTAAAAAGACCAGAAACCCACACAGCCCCTCCCTCCTCCTTACTCCTTTTTCCCTCTCTCTAACTTAGCCCAGCAGCCCAGCAGCCAAGATGGAGGTGAAGTCCCAGCTAAGACAAGAGCAGAACCCTCTCCCCAGCATGGGATCCTGCAAGGAGAGGATGGGGCAGGGAGGGTTTCACAGGCTGGCGCCCGGGCTTCCCCCGTCCCCACGCGCTGTCACACGCACCGTTCTCGCAGCTGGCGTTGCTAACCCGCAGCTCCATGGGGCCCTAGAGGGCTTTCCAGCAGGTGGCCACTTGTTCGTGGCGTGGCGTGGATTGGCTCGCTCGGATGTCAGAAGCCTCCAGGGTCCTGACCCAGGAGCAGGGAGAAGGGCGTGCCCCAGAGGCGGAGGGTCCTTGGGGAGGAGTCACCCTGCGACTTGAGCTGGGGGCGAGAGGCTGAGGCCGCCCGCAGAGGGGCGCATGCCCTCGCTGTGTGGCTGATGCAGCCGGGCTGGGCTCCTAGGCTCCCAGTCACCGCCCGTGCCAGGGGCAGGAGGCGAGGGGGCGGGTCCCGAGGCCCCGCCTTCGGGCCGCCGGCTGCCACCCAGCTCCATCCCCAGAGACGGAGTTGATGTGGGGTAGCAGCAGCTGGGGGAACGCTTGGAAGGGGATAGTCTTGGCTGCAAGGCCTGGAGGGACTATGAATCCAAGAGGTCTAGAGCCTAGTTTGTTCTTTCCTCTCTTCCCTGTCTTATTCATTTATCTTCAAGATCCAATCCCTATCTAGCACTGATAGTTAACAGCTATATAATATTTGGACAATAAATGCTCAATATATATTGTCAGCTGAACAAAGTCGAGAGCTTTGTAAATTGAAGAAAGAAATAAGTGATTAGCAACCAAAATGAGCCTGACTATTCATTCTCTCCTCAATAACATAATATACTAATGCAGGGAGCAAAAAAAGATCAATTCTCTAAAGACCTATGGTTTCCCAGTTACTTGAATTGTATATATGTATGTACCCATGTACAGTTATGGCAAAAAGTGCATTTATTCCTATGGTAGCAGTGAAGTTGGAAAAAATGCTAACTTAGACCAGGAAAACATACACGTACGTGGTGCTTGCCACAGACCAAGCAAAGCTCTAAGTGCCAAAAAAAAAAAATCAATTCTCATGACAACACAAGCTGTGTACTTTCATGATTTACAGGAAGGAAACTGGGGCATCGAGTGATCCAGTAGCTTGCCCAGGATCCAGGCAGTGAAGAGGCAGAACCAGGGTCAGACTCCTGCTGTTCTGGCCATGCTGAAGTGTCTTAGGCTGAAACACTCTGCTCTAGGCAATGAGGGCATGGGATGGCTAAGGGAGCAATGATCTCTCCTGGAGACCTGCCTCCTGTAGCTGGTCGTAGCAGTCAGCTGTGGGTCTTCACAGTAGGACCCGCCTCACCCGCCAGACACTCTGGTTTAACCCTCAGTAAGGATAGGGTCCCTTATTCCCTCTGTGTTGCAGATGAAGGAACATTGTATTTTTAAAAACTATTTTGGATTTATAGAGAAGACATAAAAAAATAGAACAGAGTTCTTTAGTGTTTAATCTTGTATAGGAATAGCAACATGTGTGCAGAAAACTGGGAGGCGAAGGAACGGGCAGAGCCAGGCCTAAGGTGGACCCCTTTGCCTCCACACACACCTGTCATCCCAGCCACTACCCTCCACTGTCCTGCGTGTGGCCTCCCACCTAGGTCTCACAGAATGTGCTGTGAGGGCTTGGTCCAGTCTGCCGGATGACTCAAAATACTTATGTCCCATGAGGATCCACTTTCTTTTTCTGTCAGGCAGAGAAGAAAGAAAAATCATTCCTTCTTGCACCTTGCAGTTGATGTCGTCAAACAATTGCTGAACAGGACTGAGGGTAAAAGAAAAATGTTGTCACAGGCATCTTTAAAGACACCTTAACTTTGGATGGATGTAAAGTCAAAATTTGAACAGGTGAATCCACCAAGAGCACCTTCAGTGGGGTCACAGAACAGCAAGATATTGAATAACTAGCCCTCTTGGGAAATGATATTTCGTGATAGAAGAACATATGCCTGCATGATAGCTGAGGAGGAGGATGTGGCAAGAGAAGGAGGTGTCTGGTACCTAAACATCGTTGCAGTGCAGAGGGACCTTGTGTCTGCTTTGATGACCATGTTCTAGCCCACAGACATTCACTGCCTTCACACATCATCACTCCAAGAACACAGAACAAGAGGCGGAGAATGTGTTCTGGGCCAGACCTTTGCTCTTTCAGGTTTATTAGGAAATAATTGACCAAAGCTGTCCGTATCTAAGGTATGCAGTGTAATGCTCTATGTATACATTGTGAAATAATGACCACATTCCAGCTAAATGTCCATCTACCTGGCATAATTACCTGTGTCTGTGTGGCTTGTCTGAGTGGCTTGACTTCTAAGATCACCATATAGGAATGCTGTTGCCAGAGCTGAGCTCAGAGAAAGACATACATATGTGTCCTCTGATGCATTTGTCTCACACGAGTTTGAGATTTGTAAAGGACTATGTGGCCGGGTTCAAGGAAGGAAGTTGTCTGAAGTCAGGGACAAGTGTCCCACACTTGGAGATGGGCTTTGCAGAGACAGGTACACTTCCTGTGGAAGGGCAGTGATGGGAGGAGGAGAGATCTATGACCCACTGCCAGGCCTTTCACACCCTCTCTGAGCCTCAGGCTCCCCATCTGCTGCAGCAGGGGGCTGGGCCTCTCCAGACTGGCTTTGGAACATCTCCCTGGTGCAGATACAAAGGGTGCATTGAGCTGTGGGCTCCCTTGCTGCTGTGCTGACAAAGCCCTTTTCTCCTGGAGCCACAATGGGCCTGTGAGGCAGGTAGCAGAGCCTGCAGCCTTGTCTCCCCAGAAAGGAACAACAGGATTCACTGTCCCAGGCTCAGACTCAGCTTGGGCTGGAGGGTCGCTTTGGGTTTCTTGGGAAGGGTCTGACCAGCCAGGGACAGCTAGTGGGCTCTTATGGCCAGTTCTTCAGGAATGAACTAGAAAGTAAATGAACCAAAAATGGAGTTTCTAAAAGCTTGTCTTTTGTAAGACTGTTTAAGTGTACTACAGTGTAGCTGCCTTGCCTGCTGCATTGACCACCAGCCACTGTGGCTCTGGAGAACGTGACAGGTGGTTCATCTGAGTGAGGATGTGCTCTAAGCTGCAGAAGGGCTCTGGCGATGCTGTGAGGCATGCCCTACCATTGCAGAAGGTTGGCATTCTGGCTCCAGGTGACAAGAGTGTACCTCCTTGCTGGTTTTGATAACCAATTGCTGAAATCACCCCAGGCTGAGAACCATTCAGAAGTTTACAACTTAGAAAAAAAGAATGTTAACATATTATTAATGATACCTTGATATTGATTATATGTTGAAATGCTAATATTTAGGATATGTTGAGTTTGGTGACCTAGACTATCAAATCAATGCTCCTTACTTATTTTGACTTTCTGATTAAGCAATTATTCATTTAAAAATTATATTTGTGGTTGATGTTATGTTTCAATGGAATCAGGCTTATAGAGAAAAAAACTGTAGAAAGGACCAGAGTGGGAAGGTGGCCAGAGGCCATTCACAGAGCAACAGAGAGGCAGTGTCACAGCCTTGATCAACTTGTAGACCAGCGTCGCAGAACAATTGTCATATGTGGTATTGCAGTGGAAGGGAGACCCCCAAATCGGCATGGTTTCCAGTATGGTGAGGGAATACCCCCGAATAAGCATGGTTTCCAGTATGTGAGTCAGAGAGCACCACTTACCGTGATATTAGCACTATTTGTAGTAGCTTGCTCTATGTCACCTGCAAGTTCATTTGATCTTCGCAAGAACTTGGAAATAGCTTCTATGGTCATCTCCATTTTCCAGGTGAGGAAACAGGTCGAGGGAGGACTCCCAGCCTGTAAAGCTGAAAAGCTTAGCAGGAAATTCTGACACCCTGTGCTACTGCGCATCCTAGCTCTAGCAGTATCCAATAAGGATAGGGTAGGTCATTTCTCCTTCCCTCCCACCCGGGCTAGAGGACCAAGTAAGAGATGATCTATCCAGCTTTCTAACCCCACAGATCTGGTGTTCTGGGCAGGGTGGGGAAGGGCAAGTGGCCTTCCTCAGGTTGATGAGGACTCATGGGAATCTGGACCATCTGTATGCCAGAGTAGGCCCATCCTTTCCCAAGTATGTTCCCAGAGTAGCTGCCAGCCTCCAAAAGAGCGTTATTGCCTGCCATGGACTGAGACATGCTTGGTCTGTTTCTAGAAACAGCATCATGCCCAAAAGTGGGGTCCACATGCAACTGGCATATCTTAAAAAATAATGTTGCACTGCTAAGCTCTTTCTCTGTGTGCTAAGCATTTGACCAACCTTAGCTCACATGCTCACTACAGTCCCTGACTCTGGGTACCACTGGAATGCCTATGTTACAGATGAAGGGCTTGCATCCCAGAGAGGTAGTGACATTTCCAGGGACAGAGATTCAAGCTGGGGTTATGCCATCCCAGAGCAGATCTCTTGATGAAAACATGGTGAGATGAGGCCAAGCCTTCTCTCCCAGGCCTTTGCAGATCCTGCTCTGTGTAGAGTAGATGTGAAGACAGGGCCCTGCGAGTACCACTGTGGGAGCACATAGAGCCTGCTGGTGCGCCTGTCCTCAGGCTCAGAGCTGAAAACGCTCAGCCAATCCTACCTCCCCTAGTTCATTAATGGGGAGACTGAGGCACAAAAAGGGGCAAAGTCATGCCCAACCTTGCTTGACTGATTTGTGGCAGAATCGGCTCTTCACTCAAAGTCACTTGAAACACAACTCAGCCAAGTACTTGTATCTTCTTCACACTTTATTTTGAGGCAAAAAGAGCTGATTAGAGGTCAAATCATAAGTTAATGTCATTTGGTTACTCTTTAAGATTTATTATTTGAAACAGAGTTACGGAGAGAGATTAATGAAAAGGGAGAAAGAGAAAGGCAGAGAAAGGAGGAAAATAGAAGAGATCTTCTAATCAACTGTTTCACTCCCCAAGTGACTGAGATGGCCAGAGTGGGGTTAGGTCAAAGCTAGGAGCCAGGAGCTCTGGGCAGGTCTCCCACGTTGGCACAAGGGCCCGAGCACTTGGGCCAGCCTTTGCTGCTTTTGCTAGGCGCTTTATCAGGGATCTAGAGGAGAAGTAGAGCAGCCAGGACTTGAACTGGTGCCCATATGGAGTGCTGGCACTGCTAATGGTAGCTTTGCTTGTTA